CAAAGTAACCTTCTTTAGAGTTAGAAAGGAGAAAACCTCTAAATAATGATATTCAATTCATATTTCTAGACTACAACTCTTGTTAGTCTTCTGTGACCTAGTTCTCTTGCTATTTGTTTAAAGACACTAATGAGAATTTGAAATGAGACAGAGGGTTTTATCCATAATAAACTAACCTATTTTCAGAGCATATCTGTAAAAAGCAAACTGTTCTTATTGTAGACTAAAAAAAAAAAATATGGAATGAACTATAAATTGCTCAGTTTGTCTCCTCAAGCCAAATGTATTTTCTGTCACCTTCAGTGTTTTGACTCTTTAATGGGGAAAAAAAAAAAAAGAGAGAATAATATGCTAAAAAGATCAAAGCTCAGAACCCTAACACAGTTAACAGGCTCCATTTTTGGAATTGTATTCATTATTGGTATCAGAGTAACAAATCTATTGAAGTCAATGGAGACGGCCTATGGGAATTAAAAGAAAATTTACTCTTTAAGACTTTCATAAAAGAACAATAATGAAAAATATGGGAAACTTCTTACAGTGACACATTAATAGACTTCTTTTTTTTTTTTTTTAATTTCTATTTTAATCAAATAGACCTATAAGAATAATAAAGTTGTCACTGGAAAAGCAAAAACTTCATACAGCTCAATATTTTGGATATTACGGCTTTGGATATTAGATCTGGATACAGGAAAGAAATGTAATGTTCACTGTATGAAAGGTATTTTATCAGACAGATTCTGGAGGAAATGGATGAAGCCTAACTACTATGTGTTTCCTCTCAGATAACAAAATGCTTGAGTGATATTTGGGTTTTTTATATGCCTACCATTAAATTCCCTGAGTTAATATGGTTTTGATGTATGCATTTCTACTTTTCACCTAAGTTCTAATTCTGTTCACACTTTCTACCTCATAAACTGGAAAAAAAAAAAGTCTAGGTTATGTGTTTTTATTTCCTGAAATCTCATCAGATTTGAGAAATATTTGTAGCCAATTCAAATTTGGTATATGGTTTTACTTCCCTCTATTAAGACCAGAACATAGAAGAAAAACAACCCTCAGTGAAATCAGAGAATGCTTTGGATTGGAAGGGACCTTTAATGGCCAGGTAGTCCAACTCCCCTGCAATGAGAAGGAACATCTTCAACTAGACCAGGTTGCTCAGAGCCCAGTCTAACCTGACCTTGAATGTATCCAGAGATGAGGCATCCAAAATCTCTCTGGGTAACCAATGCCAATGTCTTACCAACCCCATCATAAAAAATTCCTTCAAGTCCAATTTAAATTTACCTTCTTTTAATTTAAAACTCTTACTCCTTGTTCTGTTAAAACAGGCCCTGCTAAAAAGTCTGCCCCATCTTTCTTATAGACCCCCATAAAGTACAGAAAAGTCACAGTAAGGTGTCCCTGAAACTTTCTCCCTGAACATCTCCAGTCTGACCCCCCATTCTCCCAGTTTGTCTTCACAGGAGAGGTGTTCCAGCCCTCTGATCATTTTTGAGTCCTACCTCTGGATGTGCTCCAGCAAATTCCTGTCTTTATGCTAAGGACCCCAGAGCTGGACATAGTACTCCAGGTGGGATGTCACCAGAGTGAAGTAGAGGAGCAGAATTATCTCAAATTCATTCCCAGAGAGAAATGTTTATTTCTTCTATGTGTCTTTGCTACCTCTGTCACAATGGGCCCTTTCTGCACAGTTGATGCTAATGCTTCTGAACCTGTTTTGCCAGCTCCTGAGAAAAATGTGTCGGTGTTGCAAACAACAGCTGAATATTGGCCTGTTATGTAAGAAAAAATCCAGACTCAGAGATGTTGTTTTAATTTTCTGCATGGTAAACAGGCTTAATGGGATAGGTGAAATAATTTTTAAATACATTTTTAACTGTTGTGTTTCTGTTAAATTAAGGACCATAATAAATCTGGGCAGAATGGTCTACCTGCTTTGAGAAAAGAAGAAATTTTAAAGGTTATTTACTTGATTTTCCACAGTGAAAAGTTCTCTGTTTGCATTAGCTGCTTCAAAACAGTGTAGAGGAGAAGCCAGTTGTTTTTTAATGAGGCATAGTAAAAAGACAAAAGGGAAGGGTATGGAGGACAAAGTCTTTGAACTTATAAATGTATTCTTTTTCACTGGTCTGGAACACCAGAGGTCTTGAATCTGAGCGTCTAATTTTTTAACAGTTAGACATTTTTTTAAATCTTCTCTGATTTACAAGTTGTATGTTTGTTTTGTTTTTATATTTTAACTTTGTTAGCTACCAGAATTTAATTTATACCTGGGGAAAAGGGATTCTGAAACAGTAGATCTCTGTACTTTAAATATTAGTTTAAGTTGTAATTATTAATATAGCAAAGAGCTATCTAGTAATATATGAAAAATTGATTATTTGGATATTTTTATGTATTTTCTTTACCTTGGTTTCAAGTTTTTTTTTAATCTGAAACACCCACAGTTTAGCATGTAAAATGTTCTCCAGAGAAAATGGGCTTCTGTCAATATATTATTCAATTTTCTTTGAACACAGGAATATTTTTACTAAGAGCCATTTGTAGAAGTAAGCATTCTGTCATTGTCAATTACATTTGATCAACAATGTGAGTTTTATATGGATAATAAAGAATAAAAGAAAAATTATAGCTGATGCTAGTCTATTATTGAGTAAAAATAATTTCATGGATTAATATTATCATCCTCTATATGATATGCAAGGTAATGAGGTCTTCAGATCCAGAGGTTTATGTTTCTATTTTAAAGTCTCAAAAACAAAATTGATATTTTATTTTAAAGTTGTTTTTTTTTTTTTTCTGAGGATGATATTGTAATAAACTAGAAATTGCATTTTTTTTTCTCTATGCAGTCTCCAGAGAAATATGGTTCATCTGGCCCTATTGCAGTTAGCATATGGTGATAATTCTTACCCAAAAGGTGATATTAGAAGTTGTTCTTTAGATAGAGAATCTGAAGAAACAAAGTATTGTGAATGCTTGCAGCACATCTTCTGCACTAGAGCAGTTCTTACCTTATTTTATAATGAGAACAGATTTTTTTTTTTCCTAGATCTCTAATGTGTGCAAATAAAGTTCTTCTGCATCACTATTGCTCAGATCAGGCAGGAGTAAATCACCTCAGATCAGGAGTAATGATACATTTAACCATGTATTTCGTTCAGTCTGTTGATTTAGCTTTGAGATAATAAACTGCAGTCAAAGTGGTTCTATTTACTGGAATTATTTCTTTCAAAATGCATACTAAGAAAAAGATTTTGCCTTTGATTTACCTTTTGAGTCAATAAATAATGAATAAATCATTGGCAAACTAAAGTTAGATGATTTTATATAATTTTCTTCTTTGGTAAAATTACCCTTGTTACGCATGCTATACGAATTTGGAAAAATAATATAGAGGGTTTATTACTGTCCTGATCTCTACAATAAAGGAAATTCTGCATATCAATAAATTTTAAACTCCCAAGTCTCCTTAAAATTGGAATTCTTGTGATAATGCATTCAAACTTTTTTTTTAATGAACTGCATGCTGCTGCAAGCTCTTTACTTCATATCAAATAGCTTCTAGTGATGATCTGCACCACTGACAAATGAAATGTAATACTTGGCTCTAAATGAGCAGAAAAGACATTAGCTGTAGACTGGGAGTTATTTTGATGGCAATTCTCAAGGAAACAACAACAGAAGTAATTACAGCAGATTGATCTGAAGCAAAATATATTCTATGCATTAGTTTGTGTTAATACTTAAAATTTAAATAATTTTAGATATTTGGGTGGATACTGTCTCAAAATAGATTTATTTTGGGTAGAGGAAGACATTTAAATTACAGAATAATATGAGTTTGTACAGTTGAAAAGGGCATTTTTAAATTTGGCATTATGATTCTCAGTGAGGAATCCCTAAGAACTAATGACTACACCTGCAGTAAATGATCCAAACCTGTAATACCTTCTGCTCTGTAGCTGGACTCTCTGCAAATGAGTTTCTAGGCACACTCTCTCAGAGTACTATCCTGGTGCCTCCCCTGAAACTAAGAGGTTTTTCATTCTAAATATTCAGACATCATTGATCTTTCAGTATTGATCTTTTCAGACATCCTCTGAGAAAATTATGCTTGCATCGTTATGGTGATTTGTTAGATCCCAAAAATTATTGATCACGTTTTATATTCTGTAAAGCCAGAGATACAAAATATTTGCAGGTGCATTCTATTTTCTTCTAGAAATAGAAAGGATAACAGGAATATCCAAAGAGTTTGCCAGAATGCACAATTCTTCATCTTTCATTTTTCTCTGTAGTGTTGTCTTGTCTTTAATCACATCAATAGTTTGTTGGAGACAGAGATCTTTTTAATAAAGTTGACATTTCTCCTGTCAGGTTTCTGTGCTGTGCTCTTGGTCACAGGGACGCTTACCATGCAATTCACAAATTCAGTCACATGAAGTCCCCCAGACCAGGAAAATCTGTTCTTGAAGCTGGAGCCTGCTACTGGTGATGAGATGCCTCCCCTTCAAAGGAGGATTAGGAGATTAATGAGTCTCCATTGCTAATTCTCTGCTGGTTGTCTCAGATTCACTCTTAGCATCTTTCTGGGTATTCAATCCAATATGCAGGCCAAATGATCAAAAGGAAATGTGATTGCAGAGGGGTTTGAGAATTCAGGCTTATGTTAATCCATCATTATCATAAAGAACTATATGGCAAAACCCTTACAGCAAGAATAGCTGTAGATAAATAGGGACATATTCTGATGTCCTAATATTGACCTCTGCTAATGAACCTATAGACCCAGATACACTTTTGCAGTTTTTTCCTGAGGATTCACAGTGCTGATGCTTGTAACACAGTTTAAATGATAGTGTAAAATCTGTGGTAATTCAGAAAATGGCGTGTTCATGACAACATAGGTTCAATTTACAGTTTTGCAATTGTTTATCAAGTATAATTATAAGTGACCTTCCATTTATGTTTGCTTTGGTTTTTAGCTCCAGACCAGTCTGTCTGAACCAATGACTTTATCCAAGTCGATCTCACTTCCTCGTAGTGCATATTGGCATCACATCACCCGGCAGAACAGCGTTGGAGAAATCTACAGTTTACAAGGCAAGTTGCTTATAATGCCATACCCATTAGCTTCTTTCCATTTTACTAGAATTCATGCAAATTGCTTTTTATTTGCACTGGTTATTTTCTCTCCATTTCATTTATCAATTGTCAGGATCCTCAGCAGGATTCCCAAATTTACATAAAACAGGTTTCTATTAGTAATTTTGTAAACAAATGGTGAAAATTATTTCTAGAATCACCACATAAAGCTAGATAGACAATTTGGCTCGATGTAGCTTCTCAGTAGCTAATGAATGTCAGGTTGTTTTAGTATTTTCTACCAATGAGATGGGGCAAGTATTTGGGCAACCTCAGGGTGCCTAATTAAATCTACATAAAGTGACTATATGAGTTGCAAGATTAAAACAGAGCAATTCTAGGAAGAAGAGCTATTCTTGGTAAATTTGCTTGGCAAATCATATATGTGAACTGTTGACTCAACTAACTTACAGACCTTCAACAAATCATCTTCTGTCTATGGTTTTCTTTCATATGTAAAGATTTGCTAAAGCCTTTAAATGCTATAATTACCATAACTTGATGATGATGATTCACTGCTCTTAAGCTGAAATTGATTTGTATCTTTTAGGAAAATGAAATTATTGTTACATATAAAATGTAGACCTTTTAAAAATAACATTTTGTAAACATAACGCTTTGTATTATTTCTAAAGGCCTTAAGAATTTCATTTTAGTTCTCTCTTAATAATCTGTTTGCATAAACAATTTACATTTAGATAGAAGATTAGAAACTGCTTACAAACAAGAGTATCCAATGCAAGGAGACAGTACATATTTTCATTAAAATGAGTGGAATCCAGTATATAGATGAAGGACGTTAAATGCTTTGTTTTGTGAATTATCACATAAATTAAAATCAGCAGGTGAACTGTGCATTCAGTGGGTGAGTCATTAAAGGGTACAAGCATTTGTTTCCCATCATTTTCCATAGAGCAAAGTTAATTTTTAATAATGGTTGTAGTCCTTATTTAAATACCAGTAATGGAAAAAAGAAAATAATCTTCCAGAAGCTGTTTGTGAAAAAAGTTATACTTGTACATCACCCTACAAATATTCATCATATCACTGATATTTTTTTCATGGACACAATAAGAATTGAAAAAATAAGTTTATTTGTAGAGATGTTAGATTTCTTCTTCTTGTGCCCTTGATGTGTCTTTTCTTCATCAGCAAGATGGTAAATGTATTATAGTCACTCTCAACAATCTTTTCTTCCTTATAAATGGCCTTCAAAATAAAGGAAAGTAAAACTTTATGTATAAAGTAATAATTAAAATACCTATACCACCTAGCTGTGCAGGATTCAACGTACTGGAAGTGTATTATTAAAAATGTAAGAATTTTTCTTTCTGGAAATATGCAGATTTAATCCACATTTCCACTGAAACATGGGGCTTATAAATACTTCAGAACTTAAGATTTTCATTTTTCCTACATGTACTATGAGGACTGAAGCCTGAGAAAATATAGCTGATTTCAGGAGAGTCTGATTCACTCTTACCAGTGGGCAAGGAAGTGCATCCAGAAGACTCTGATTGCAAAACTTTCCCATGAAAGACAACCATTCACTATCTGTAATGAAAATCTCTTTGAACCTTCTGCTGCAATTATTAATTAAAACCAATTAATTTGTACAGAAAGTGAAGTGGGTGCAAAGCACACCTTTTCCTCCTAATGCCTTGTCATACCGGCAGCCTTTGCACTGCAGGGTTGTCAAAGCATCAGCCCACAGGAGCTCTGTAGCTGTGGGTGGAAGGTGGGTAGCAAGGAAGCAGATTGTAAGCATCACTTCAGCCCTCACCTCAGCAGAGCAGCCAGCCGAGAGGAGCTGCTGCAGAGGGAGGAACCACCTTCTCTTGCCATAATCTCCTCTGAGCTTCAAAAGGTGCATTGCGCCTTCGGGGAGGAGACCTTTTCTTCACAGAAGGGACATTGAACTTAGCTCTGCACTTCATGGGCGTTTACAACAAAGCGTTGAACATTCAAGAAACAAATTTGAAAATTCCCCACATACTTCTAAATATCTCACAAACTCTAAAGTGAAACAAAGTGGTGTCTATCTATATCCAGGTGACTATCAATATCAGTAGTAGTAGCCGAGCTCACTGCTATGTACAAGTGTTTCCACAGTGGCAATTATTTCAAACTTGCAGTCTGAAGTGACTAGAATTTAATTAATAACAGCTGGTGATGTATAGGAAGAAATGAATATGTGTTCATACTACCTTAGATAAATTGGCTCTTTGGGAGTTATTTAGCAGTCAGATTTAACATAGTAGTGTGTGTTGATCTGATAATGAATATGCTATAGAGTAAGAAGGTAGTGGGTTTTGTGATTTTTGGTTTTTTTGTAAACTACATTTCAGATGAAAAAAGGCCCTTCAATAAATGAGTGTTGGGTCTATTGTGCTCCATTAGCCCTTGAAAATACTTACATGTAAAGACCTGTAGAGATTAATGCACAGAATAATAGAACTAAAGTAACACAAATTGCACAAAATATCTTGAAACAAGACGGGTTCGTTTCTTTTGATAATCCAAATATTGCACTTAATTACAGTTCAGAAATTAAGTAGTGTCCTTAAATATTTTTTATCAAAGTTTAATTTAAATAATAGAGGAAAAATAGCTCTACACCATTTTTTTGCATACATGAGTATGACATACATGAATTTTATGTTTTCATAAATAATTGACAGCTCTAAAAAAAATTTGAGACCAATAGAAGACAAACATTCACTGATATGTTATGCTATCATACATCAAGATCTAAAAATTTATAAAAATGAGAAGTCAAAAAAAACAAAATCATGATTAAGAAGGAAAAAATATGAGCCACATAAGCATGTAAAGAAATACCTTGTATGTTTCTTTGTAATTCAGTTTTTATTGTTTATACCTGCCATAACATTTAGCACTGTAACACAAGCTATTAAAAACTGACTGACACAACACGTGAGATTTTATAAAAGAAAAGAAATTTAGGAGAATTCATCTCATCTTTTTGGGGTTTTTTTTGTGTTTGTTTGTTTGTTTGTTTGTTTGTTTGTGGTTTTGGTTGGTTTTGGTTTTGGTTTTTTGCATTTAGGGCATTAAATATGCTTAAAATTAAAAAAAAAAATATCAGACTGAATTTTCAGCTACCTGAAGAACTCTAGTTCTTGCCCTTTAGAGTTTGGATGATACAAATGTTAGACACAGTCAGTTTGTGCATTATTGTATAAATAAGGCCAAATAGAATTTTGGTATTGAAACATTAATTAGCTTTTTGTATCGCAGTTATTGAAATCCCTGGGGAAATTATGTTCAGAAAATCTAATTACAGCCTGGCCTTTCTCCAAGAAATTCAAAATTAAGAAACGCTTTCAGTCACTCCTGTTGTGTTTGATCTGGTATGTCCTCATTTTTTGGACTTGGCTTTTGCTATCCATACTCAAAATAATGAACACCTACCCACAAAGGCAATGCTATTCATTCTATGAGAGTACTTATGTGAAGGAACATATATTTGTATAAGAATTACACCAGAAACATCTTATGTGTTTCTTCTAAAAAGAGAACACTAAAGGGTTTTTTTTTTCCCACAGTATTGCTTATCACAATTTGCTTGTAATGAATTTTATTTGCTCTATCACAAATTATTACCACAGTTTGTTGTAAACCTATATCAAAGTAATTAAATTACATGGAAAAATACTAAGAAGCCTGCTAAGAGTCGTATTTCTAAACTTAGTGAGGAATTTTGAGAAATAAAACAATCATCTTTGATGAAATAGGACTTCAGATTCTAAGCACATGCCAAAACCATAAGCAGACAGAAATAAAAAATAGCTCAAATGAAGTCTGAAGGAGTTTTGCTGTTGATATACAATTACCTTTTGTATGTCACAATAAAGATGCAAGAAACATAGTGCTGGTTTTGCAAACCTAAATGGACAGAAGCTATGGCTCCTCTGTGGTCTGAGTGAGTAAGCCTGCAATGCACATTGTCTTTTGGCCTTGTTAGATGACAACTCATCCTTTTTTCCTTTTTTTTTTTTATTATATTTTAAGCAGGATAATATGTAGTGTTAATCTGCTCAGCTAAAAGATGTTGTGCATAAAAGGGAGACAAAGTCACATACGAAAAACCCATCTACACAATTTTCCAGCCTTTTCAAAGTAGAAACTCTGACATGTCACTAAAAATAATCAGAGAATATTCAAGTTGCTAAATATTTAGAGGGGTTTGAATCATTCTGTTCAACCTTCCTTAAGCTAATCCTGCAGGAAATTCTGATGTAGGCTTCTGTAGCTTTCTGCAAATTAAAGTATGTAAAATGAATGGGAGCGCATTCGTCATTTTGGCATTTCCACTGTTTGTTCATATGCCCAGCAATAGAGTATGGAATCCATTTCCCCATCTAATCTTGGTGCCTGAACAATGTGAATAACACAAAATGTTAGAATATATCTGTTATACAAACCTGATCGCTCAGTAATTTTTCAGTAAGTGTCTACCAGCGGCTAAAGCTGAAAAGCTTTATAGCCTTCCACATTCCTATTTCCTTTGCTGAATCACATCAAGACCTTCACATTAGTAAATGAAGCCTATAAAATTTGAGATATGAATAAAGGACACCTGGAACAAGATACTTACTGAGTAGAAACTGCATAGGAGCTACATTATTTAAAATGACTGCATTACATGTCTTCTCAAGTCTTATGCAGTAGGTTTGAGCCTTTCCTTTTGAGCTTTGAATTTCTGTGCTAAGTAGTGCATCACTAGAGTGATTTTAAAATGGCATATTGGAAGTGGGATGTGTCTTACTCTGAAACCAGTAAAGAACTTCATTTTGCTCAACACTGATTGCTGCCTCTAACCAAGAGCATTACTGACAAGCTCTAAAGAGTATCTTGACATATTCCCATTCATTCTGATAAATCATTGCTGAGTTAAGAGGTTGTTTCAATTATGAGCCATGAAAAATAGAGGA